TCTCTGGGATAAAAAATGTACATTCCCCCCATCTTTTATCTCATCCTATCTCTGGGAATTCTTCTTGCTTTTCATCCTTTCTACTTCTAAGCACATCAAGTCAGGGACTCTCCCATGACAAAACTGTCCATCAAGCACAAATCCAGATTCAGAGTGCATATAAGCAATGTAAGCAAAGCTTGAAAATCTCTGCAGTATGTGATCAGACACTAGAACCTGTGAAATATATGAGAATAGTGGCTGTGAACCCAAAGGCAAGAGTTGGTTTATTCTATTGGCTATGATAGGAAAAGGTACAAAACCTTAGACTACTCATGCGGAGAGAGCAATGGAGAACACAATCCCATGCACAGCTGATTTTGAAAACTGACTTTTTGAAGTTAGGTAAGAACTTATATAGCTTTAAAAGAGGATGGTTGAGGCTTCATTATTTAGAATGTAGTGAATGACATAAAATATATCTGACAAATTTTACCTATTAAAAAAAGTAATCTAGGAATTAGGATCTGTTTCTCAGTAGATAAGATGTCCTGGTTTTACTGTATCAGATATATATTAAGTTATTTAGATCTATACTAGATGGACTATTAATCTGTCTGATGGTTCCCAGAAAATAACAATTTCTAGTGTGCTTGTGAATCCAATACCAGAACTAGCCCTCATCCATTTAGATAAAGGTTTTAAAAATGGCACTGAGTGCCACATGAAAGGGCCTATTCCTGCAAAGTATTAGTCACCAATACTGGCAGTGGCTTGATATGCTTATCACAGCACATACCACAGTGGAGATGGCCACGATACACAGAGGACCACCATTCAATTTCAGAAGGCTTTAAACATCCCCATACAGAGTAACCTCTCAGCAGAAGGCTTCAAGGGCCTGCCCTTTTTGCTCTTTAGCCCAGCCTTTTATCCCCCTCATGTTGATGCACTGCCCCTGTGTGCCCTCTGCTCCCTTTGGTGTTGGTCAGTGCCCCGGGCACTCCCTGGCTCGTGGCTGTCAGTGCTGCTCACCTGCTGCTCACAGCTGTGCCCGCTGGGGATGGGGCTCAGCCCAGCCCCATCCCAATCACCACAAACTGTGTGCCTGCAGCTTGAAGGGGTGGCAAACCAGCAGGGGGATGGGAGGAATAACTCATATCATTGTTACTGGACTTGTAACAGCTTTGCAGGTTTACACAAAAGGGCTTTCTGGGTAAGAGAGAGAAAATGTTTTCTTAATCCAGGAAAGATATTTCTGTGTGCAATAAAGAAACTTAAAGGGGATATGAGATATAAGAGAAAGTCACCACTTTTTTTAGGCCAGCTGTTACAGGATGTGAGTAAGGGGAACTTTTCACACTAAATTGAAGCAAGTACATTTTCTTCTGTTTATTAAGCATAGGTATGTTAGACTTCAGGTTGAAGTCTATTGTCAGTAATGACAATTCAGTCAGTCTGCCACCTAAGGAGCTAATGAGCAGAACTGTTTGCACTCCCCTGGAGCTGGGCTCCTTCCCTTCTGCTGGCTCACACAGCCCTGATTGTGTAGTCCAGGAAGTGAAATCAGCAGTAAAGTACAAAAGTAGTCATAATTTCTCTTCCCATTTATTTCCTTGAAGTAGTTTATCAGAAGTCCAAAAGGGACAGGTCAGGAGCAGAGCCTGCAGAGCAGGACTCGTTCTGCTGTGGCTGTTGTTACAGCTTGGTGAATACACAGCTGCTCTAATGAGGGATGTGGCAATCCAAGCACAGCACTCAACTGCAACTTGCTGATACCAAGGAAGTGTGTGTTTTACTGCAAATAAAGAATACTGCAGCAGCACCAGGCTGGTTTCCCACACCAGACCATGTGTCAGCACACCAAGAAAATAAATCCCTAAGTAAGCGGAACAAAATTGTTTTAATTTATGTCTTAACTTTAAATGTTGTTTTCAGGTTTGTGCAATGCAGTAGAAAATAATGGAAAGTCTTTTAAAACATAACTAAAAAACATCTTATCGGTCTTTTTGCTATAGCTCAATGATATTCTGTTACATGCTAAGATCTCAGAAGAACTGGGATATTAATGCTCTGTGATAATACTGAGAATGTAGATATTAAATGAAAAACAAATACATGCAGGTTACCGCAAAATAGGGTCCTCAATAAGCTTATTGTGGACTGCGCCTACAATAGGCAAGAAGGGAATTTCCTTCAACAAAGGAATGGAGGCTCTAGACAATTAGCCAAGTCTATAAGCAACACATAGGGGATTTTTGCATTTGGCTATTGCTACAACATGTTTACTTGTACATTGGTCAATATTGCAAAATTATTGCATATTTTGGTTGAGAGAAAGAAAACATTTCAGTGATCAGCAGAGTGTAATGAATAATTATAGAGTTAGGAAAGATTTTATTACTACCTTCTTTCAGGACTGACCTACCAGTGTTTAAAATGTCTTGTGAAAAAATTTAAACACTTCTACTTCTGCAGCTATGAAGTCACAAAACAGAGGAGGCTGTAACTTCTCCAGAAAATACTGTACCTGAGTGGAACTTCTTCCAAATGTGTTACATGTATGGGATGGTCCAGTCACCATCTGAGAGAGCAGAAAAGCTGCTCCCAGAGGAAGCAGGAATTTTGTAATTAGAAGAGACAATGTTTGGCTGAAGCAAAAGTGTCAGAAAAGGACTCATACAGATCTGCTCTGAGTCAGTCAGAAAAGCTACCAGCAATTTTCTCACTACACAAATGCAAATAGGCAGACCTGAGCCAAAGTACAGAAATACTATTAAGGATTATTTGCAAACATTTGCCATCAGCAGGAATGTTGTAAGCATTTAGGTGGAGCTGCCTAGGCTCCCTTTAAAACAAATATCCAAGCAAAATGAAACATGCCTGGAAAGTACCTGTCTCTCCCCAGTGGCCATCATGGGAGCTTAGAGTACTGTCTCTGGATAAGCACCTTATTCTCAGGTTAAATTACATCTGCTATGTCCCCTGTCCAAATTTTCCTGTAAAACAGGACCATGCTTTGGTATGACTGTTTTCTTTGGTATTTTCAGCACTGCAGCCAACAAGAGATGATGTACTGCAAGAGAGTCATCTTCTATGCAGCTGAAACAGGACTTTCTCACTGAAAGCACAGGGCTTAGTACAGCTGTTGCTGCTTCAGGATATCAGATGAGCTTGTCATTGGAGGTGGTGTTTTGCTTTAGCCTTAGATACACCTGTATCATTTCAATTAATTTTCAGTCTGAGAACATATTCATAAAGTTGATCTTAAGATATCATGGCAATAAAAATCACTCTGTACAAATCAACCTTTCCTGCAGAAAAGACTTTTCCACTGGAAGAAAGTGAAGAGAGTAATGATGCTCTCTCAGCTGGGTGGCCGAGTGTCTCGTTCCTGGCTGCAGCCTGAAAGGTGTTAGAGGAAAAGCAGGGTAGGTCAGAGCTTCAGGTTCACAAAGGAAGTAACTCAGTGCTCTAGGAATGCTGCCCTGCCACCTCTGCCTTTGGAGCTGCAGCACTGCTAGGAATGAGACTAGATCTAATAGATGAGCAGTCTAAACAATAAAGCTTGTACATCAAAAGAGTCAAGCAGGACTTGACCTCTCCAGGGCACCTCAAAAATTCTTGTGTTTCAATGCATGGACATGTCTCTTACACCATACTGATAAAAGTGTCAATGAATGGCTTGAAACAAAACAAACAATTCTTAAAACTCCACACATTCAGATGGAAAATATTTTTTATTGATCAACTAACTTCTTGTTCCCTTACTCCTCACCCATATTCCTGATCTCACATGATCAATTCCACATGGTTTCAGGATATGCTATTAATCATCTTTTATTTTACTTTTTTCCCATGTTACACAACAGGAAGCATGTTTGACAGGACTATTCAGTGAAATAAAGGCCAAATATTTGTTAATCAGTACAGTGTGTAATATTATCCTGAACAATTGAGTATAAATACTGATATAATGGGGAAAACTATTTCCATTAAACTGGTTCTTTCTAGACCAGATTTCCACAAGACAGTTTTAAATAGCAATCAACCAAAGACATGTACGACCTCAGACAAATAGGAAAATTATCTCCAAGGCAAACACAAATGCAAACACAGAAAGCAGTTGTTAAATATACTTAAAGAACATGGTCTGTCATGGTGAGATCATCAGAATGGCATGAGAAAATCAAGACAGGAAATTGCAAAGAAGAATAATGTATCAAAGCTGAGAAAACTTCCTCCATTATTCATTTCTCAAAAACTTTTGCTTATGGCTTAAAAATGAAAGCTACAACAAGAAAATCTCAAATATTTGTTCTATAAGTACACAAAGTGCCATGAAAGTATTCACTTATAGCATGTTTTATATAAATACTACTTTAGATGGGAAATGTGGACCTGATTTTCTAGGTGATCTAACTGACACTGTTCACAGGGATCTTAGGATGAGGGAAGAGACAAGGATCTGACTCCATGTTTGAGAAGGCTTGATTTATTAATTTATTATATATATTATATTAAAACTATACTAAAAGAATAGAAGAAAGGATTTCATCAGAAGGCTAGCTAAGAATAGAATAGGAAAGAATAACAAAGGTTTGTGTCTCGGACAGAGTCCAAGCCAGCTGATTGTGATTGGCCATTAATTAGAAACAACCACATGAGACCAATCACAGATGCACCTGTTGCGTTCCACAGCAGCAGATAATCAATGCTTACATTATGTTCCTGAGGCCTCTCAACTTCTCAGGAGAAAAAATCCTAAAGAAAGGATTTTTCATAAAATGTGTCTGTGTCATTCTAAGACCCTTTTTTTAAATACTGGGAAATAAGGAATCCCAATCTGAATTTGTCATATTACAGTAGGCTCAACTTGCTAAATTCTTCACTCATGAGAATAATCTCACAGTAATTAGAAACTACTGTCATGAGAGATGACCAGTTAGACCAGAATTGCAAGTTGCACCAAAATACAATGTTGAGAAGATCCTGAGGACCTTGAAAACATGTTATTAGATTCAATGCAAGGACTCCACACTCTTCATCCTAGGAGAAAAACAGAAGAAGAAAAAAGATTATTATTATTTTCTCCAAAGTGTGAAAAAGTTCATTGCTATATAGTTGGTATAAAATAACAAATCTAACAATTTGTCCACAGATTGTGTACTTGACTGTCACAATTTAAACAGTGTTTATATGAACATATAAACAAAATCAGATACTTTATTCTGAGTGGTATCTTCTGAAAGGGAAAAGACTGCCTCAGGGCAAGGATGGCAGCCCTTTCTCAACCACATGATTTGCAGAGCTTTTGCAAGGCTGCTTCTTTTCCCCATCTTTGAACAAGACTTTTTCAGACCATCTCTATTTTCTCTGGAGTTCTAGGTTGCTCCCACTTTTCTAGGTTGGCTCTGAAAGGTATCCTTAAAGGAAGAGAATTTTTAAGGGCTCAGGGTCTGCCAAATTGTACCTCCATGGGCTGCATTATTTACTGATTATTTGTCTATAGCCTAGGAGAGGTGTTTAGTAAAGGACTGTGGCAATAAGAAGCAGCACTGGAACAGCTGAGCAGATGTGTCTAATCAGTGAGAGCACAGAGGAATCCGACCTGCATGCAAACATCAGTGAGAAAGCAGGGGACAGGGGCTAATAATGTGAATATCACACACAGCACATCTGAGCTGGTTTCAGGGCTCCTGAAGGCTGTGATGTTACTTTACAAACTTCTCACTGGCACTGGTTATTTGCCTCCCTTTCTCCTCGCCTTGGCAGCAAGGCAGCTACCTCTGATTCCAGACTAAACTGCAAAGAGAGAAAGCAAGAGAAGAGAGAGCACAAAAGCAGGGAATGTGTTCAGTGGGAAAGGGAGGGTTACGAAACTGATATTCATTCTAGCCATATACAAAATTCATTCAGATATTCCTTCTGTGCCTGTTACAAGGACAGTAATATGGTTTCAAGATTAAAAACCCACCCATTCCCACAGATGCTTCAAACTGTAAATTAGATGGATACCTGTGTGTCATGGCTTTTGGTGGATTTCCATCACTGTATGACTGACCATGAAAACCTGAGGGAACAAGTTCAAATATAGGTTGCCATTTGGTTTTAATTATGATTCACATATTTATTCTCAGAGTAACTGATATGGGTTATTGTTTCATACAAAATACATAAAGTTCTTATTTTATAGAGGAAATAATGTCTCAAAATGCTTGTCTTTATTAAATAGAATCCAGAAAAGTGGTCAAAAGAAATAGAAAATTTGAAAGAAGCACAAAATATTGCCTCCAAGTCAATGCTAATAAATTCAAAATTTTTAAAAAACCACCACATTATTTTCCCATTTCCATTGTAGAGGAAACAAGATCAAGCCATTGTAATTTCCACAGCTTTATATAAAATATAGAAAAAATATGTACAGCTTTATAGAAAAATGCTATCCATTGTAGAATAATAAGTTATACATATCAGAAAGCTCTTCTAAAAGCTTGGGTAAAGAGCAGCCTTCCTGATGGTTAGACACAATGACTCTTTTGTAATAGATGTTGTTATGACTGGAATCTTGTTTTTTAATAACATCATGAGTCTTCTGAACACACTGACAGTGCTTGTTATCTTTAACAGTTACACTTAACATGCACGTTTCTATTTTACAAAGATGTGCACAGTATATATTTTTACTGTGCCATTACAAGATTATTTGTCATTTGCTTTGACATTTGTATAAACCATATTGTCACAGATTACAGACAAATCTCAAGTTTAATATTGCCTTCACTTTTACATGGATGGCTTTCCTTAATATCTTAGGCCCAAACACAACAGCATCCCAGTGTAACAATTATCACCCTTGGTAACTGCTTTAAGAAACTTTCATCACATCCTGATTTTAAAAGGCTAGTGTTTAAGAAATACTTTTTTTATATAAAATATGCATTTAAGAATACAAAAACCCTTAGTAGTTTTGCTGTCACTGATACATTAAAAACCTTACACCTGAGAAGCAGCTGGTGGCTTCCAATGGGTCGTTAAGAACATTGGAATTATTGCAGTGAGACAGACCAACCCACTGCAGTGTCCCACCTCTGACACTGACTTGTACCATCTTGCTTACAGGGAGATTTTGGGAACACTGGTCCACAGACAGAGATGGATTGATCACCAACTGATATAGATCACATTGTCCCAAAACCATAAATTATGTCAGGATCCATGAAGCATGAGGTTAATGTACAACAAATACAGTGATCACATATTACAGTTCTGACATTCTTGATAAGTGCACATTTTCTCCTTCTTTTTCTGAATCACCACAAATTCCTAATCAGAAGGAAAAAAACCCAAAAAACAACAAAAACCAACAAAAACCCTACACACAAACACAACAAAAAACCAAACCAAACAAACAAGCTTGTGAAAAAATGTTCACTATTTAAATATTTAAATCAAATATTGCGCACAAAAAGTTCGTTAGTCAGTTTTTGATGTTCTGCTATTTTCATTTACTGCACAGACACATTCTCTCTTACTATGAGTGCAGGGAAATTCCAAGACTGCCATCTTTACAGCTTTTAATTACTTTACATGCTTTTGTCATACTCTGCATTTTTAATAGCATATTTTTAAATATGGAAAATGAAAATGCTGTGGTTCACCCACACTGCATGAACCACAACACTGATAATTTAATTTATTCATCTTGAGTGGGCCTGTTACAAGTTTTTCAGTGGAGAAGAAACCTGATCTGGCATTATACAAATGATTACACAGGGAACTACATTCAGACCACAAATTCAAGCTCCCTTCTTTTTATTATCAGGCTTCCAAGTCTGAAGCTGTAGTTAACTGACAGGTGTTTTTAGACAACAGGGAAAATCTGTCACAGGGCTTACTGTATTTGCAGTGAACTAGAAGGAGATGTAGGTTGGTTGGTTGTGTGAGTTTGGGGAAGTGTTTTTGGCAATGCTCAGATTGAGGCTTCTGTCAGTATGATTCCTTTTAGACTTTTTAGTTCTAAATTAGCCAATCCACTTCTGTACTGTACACCATAAACCCCACAGCCTTGGTTTGCTCCGAACTCACTAATTTCTACAACACCTTACTTTCAGGGCTTGGAGGTTCTAGAGTATTCTGGCTCCATTGTGTATCTGAGTGTACCTCAAGTCATCATAATAATAATGTCCAGAAGCAAATTTCTGGTTTTTGGGAAGTGGAGGGAAATGCTGCTGTCCCATTTGCAGGGGGGGAACTGAGAGCAGGGCTGTGCTGCAGTCACTGCAATGGCAGCAGTGTGTGCCTCTTGCCAAGGTGTGCTTTTAGCTAGTTACCTCATGTACTGACAGCAAGGTAAATACAGGTGTGACACACAGAAACTGGCACAAGGTGAAGAATTCACCCAGGAAGCAGAGACAGCAGCCAACACACAGGCTTCCCTTGCAGAGATAATTGAAGTAGCTCATGAGGTGTATCAGTCCACTGTCTATAAAAGACTCTGAGCATATCCAGCTCTCATGCACACATCCACATCCAGTCAGGTGAATCCCACTTCAGTTTCACAGTGAAAACACACTTCACTTCAAATGTGCTCTTGTACAGAATCAAGACCCAAGCTTCTTTTGTTAACATTCTACTCACCACAGAAGGTATCACAGATCTGCAGTGGAACTGAATAATCCACATCTGTTCTCCAGCCCTTTCAAAAGAAAGAATTGAGGCTTATTCCCCTTTCAGCAGAGCTGTTACTAAGCACTTGTGTTGACAAAACGAGATGGCTTTATTAGTTTACTCAAGGGACTGCATTTTAAATCTGTTTCTAAATATACACATATGGAGATTGCTGGTCTAGTATATATTGAGTTGCAATCACTTTTAGGTCTCTAAATGATAGAGCTAATCATAATTTTTTTTGCTATTGTTGACTGACAGATAATGTCTTACTTACAAAATAAATAATTTATGCAGGAAATTATCAGTCTCCCCACCAAATTTCATTTCTCACTAGGGAAAGAACTACCACTCTCATTACTCAGAAGGCTTTTGCCAATCTCACTTTCATCTTCCCTCCTTCTTCCCAGCAGCACAAAGTGAAGGTGAGAAGGGCCTTCCAGGGCAGCTGCTGGAGCCTCAGAGCTCCACTCTCACTCTCATTTCTTTCAGTGTCTGCTGAGAACATTAACTCCAGAGAGGCATAAACCTATCAGCTTCATGCTCATTTTCTATGAACAAAATTTCTTAATGAAGTTCAGCTACAGAAATAGTGTGCAGAAATCTCAGAAATAATTTGCTCAGTTCTACTTTCCTGAGTGCTAATTCTAGGACACCATGCACTTGCTGTGCTGTTTACTATATGCCTCACCTTTTCTAGTCGATGTCAATTTTTGAAAATTCATCTATTATTTACTTGGATCTTTTGATAGCTTGGAACTTTTTATTTATGAAGGAACACATAAAGACAGGATTAGCAATATCCTGATGATATCCTTTTATCTGCCACTGACAAAGGAGCAAGATCATGGAGAGCAACTTCTCAGTTAATTAATGTCATCTCAAAGAGAAGTGGTGGCAGCATACCAAGCTTTAAATAATGCTCTTTGCCAACTTGATTTGCACAGTAATCTGATTTAACTGAGAGGAGAAAGCAGTGAGAGTACTTGCTGGTTTGCTAGGTGTCTTAATGATTTTTTTATTAGTTCATTTTGTACAGGGTACCTGGCAAAAAGCAAGACACATACCTGAATGCAAATTGTTGACCCACACATTTCCTGTGACATAGTGATTGAAACAGGATCTCCCTAATGAATAAAAAAAAGAAGCTGAAAATCGCCATTTTCCATACCTGGAAACAATGAAAACACACTGTGTCTCTTCAGTTCTTTGCTTTGGTTCCCAATAATGCTATTAGTATTCTACTGTGTTAGAAAATCAATGGAAGGTTATTTATTTTCAGAGCTAACCCCAGATCTCAATGACCATAAGCAGCTGGTGTAGTTTTGCCAAGCACAGGGTGGCAGCACAGGAAGAGGACAAATGTTACTGCATTTTATGGAGCATCACAAGGAGGAAATTCCCCCCCCCCCCCCCCCCTACTGTTTGCTTCCTCATCTTCGCTTCTTTTCCCTGGTGTATGAGCTGAAGGAATGACCCTGTCTTTACAGCTCTTCTGGACTTCCCATCCCATTGTATGCAGAGAACAAGCTGAGCCTTAGGGCAAATTTGTCCTAAATGACTGGCTTGACATTTAATATCTGATTGATTATGGTTTGTCCTCAAAATAATGTCTGTTACTCCACCACTAGCTATGCATCCTACACCACTCTCTTCAGGGTGGCAAACTCCTAAAGTAATTGGGGGCAAATTAGGTGAATAAATTCAAGCATGACTGAAGAGGAATTCGTAGTTAGAGGATCAACATTGGTTTCTGGGAACACAGAGTGAGGTCTTGATATAAGCTTTGTGTACACTGCTCATGGTGTTCAGACAGGAACTGTATATAATTTATTTGGGGTCCCATTCTGTCACAGTAGCAGAAGACATAACAGCTGTGTACCAAAGGGAAGAAAACAACATGTCTAAATGCATCAGTGCCTTCATGAAACACACATTTCAATATCTAGCTGTGATTTATTGGTGTTCCACCATTATGCCTTTCACTTAGCTATTCACACAGGGAACCTTTAAAACCAGAAAATACAGACTCCACAGATTTCATGTGAAATAGATCAGCTGAAGAGAACCTTCCCTGAGTGTTGACAACTCTTCTACAAGATCTCCATTTCTGCCAGTAATACAGCATTTTCCAGACAGCTTTTCCCTTTAGGATAGACTCTTGATATTGCCACCAATGCCCTCTGTGGTCTGTGTTAATTAGGATAGCTGTTTTTTCCCAAGCCTTTTGCCATGATTATTCAGCTCTGGGAACTCCTAGAGGAGCAAGTTATTATCTTCCATTTTTGCATGTCCTCAGATTGTGCTGAGTTGGAAAACTCTTTTTATCAGCTGTTCTGTTACATTCAGCACCAGAGGTGCACTAACAATCTAAACTGATCCATTAGAAAACAAATTCAGTATTCAGTGTCCAGCCCATCATGTTTAAGAAACGCTTGTTCATAACTGCCTGGTAAGTGCACTCTTCCCACTAGAAGAATCACAAGTACCTGAAAAAGGCAGAGTTGCATTGTGTCCCTGCATAGTGACAAGTGCAGCTGGAATATATCTTACAGAGAGGACAGAGGTAGGAGCTGTGCTTGTGTGTCCAAAAACACATCCTCCTGCAGCAGGCATAGCCAGGAGTGACAATTCAAATCACAATATCTAGATTTCTCAAATTTCTCAAAATTCATTGTGTGCCAGCTCATGTGCCTGGTCAGTGAAGCAGTGGATTATTATTTAGCAGTGGATCTGAGGAGCTGGCTGCTGAACCAGATGGATGTATTTCAGCATGGTGGTCCTAGTAGCTGCTAGGATCTATCCTGCTAATATTCTCCTGTTTGAAAAATAATACTATGGCCTCTCTTTGAGCTCACTTCCTAGATGTGTCTTTCAGCAGATCACAGTTGGGCCAACAAGGTAACTGATAGGCAGGGTTAAAGGGCAAAGCACAGTGCTGCACTGAAAATGTGTGGGACATAGACTAAGTTGCAAGAGAGGAAAGAGGCTCTCATGACTAGCTGCTGCCTGACACTGAAATCTGACCCTCCCATAATCTTTCCCCACTCTGTCCCCATTTTGTTGGATGAAGCAGTTGTGTAGCCACACCATCAGCTGGCTCAAATAGATAATTTGGCTGAAAACGAGCCCTTTTTGCGTGTTGAGTTTGTATTGGCAGCTGTGATATTTAGAGTTCATCGTGGATTGATGCCTCAAGTCTTACATTTCATGATGTGTGATTTGCCAGGTCAGCTGTGTCAGTGACCCATATATGAAATATTCACAGGAACATTTGCTATATACATAATACAAATACCACACTACAAAAAGGACATTAAAGGAATATTAAAGTTCCCCTCAATAGTCTCATCATTTGATGTGACTCATTGGACTTCAGCATCTTTATTTATTTCTTGTTTCAGTGTGAGATCAGATTTAGAACTACATGCTTTTAAAATGTTCCAGTAATTGTTGCAATATGTTCATGGTTTATTAATGGATTCAAGCTGCAGAACAATATATGGAATAATAAATTAATGAAATTAGGTATGTTTAAAAGCCTTAAAAAGTTTAAGAAATAATATATACAAACCACAGAGACTGAATGGTGCATCCCAAGAGATTCACATGAAGCCATCTGCGTCCTGTTACACACAAGCACTGAGAACTGTGCCTTGGTTTGGGATGTGAAGAAAACTTGTATTTGTTCTGCAACTGCAGCAGTCCTCATTTTCCAGGCTGATATTAGGGGAAAATACTTACTTTTAGATGTGCAAGGACCATACAATATACTCTTAAATTTATGCCTAAAATAAAAGCTTTTTGTATTTTTCAGTGTTATCAAATGATATGCAAGTAATTATTTTAATTATTTTGATTCCTACGATTTAGTTTTTATACTGTTGAACACTAGGTCTGCTGAGGATACATTGAAGTAAAAAGCTGTCAAGTCTCTTTGACTTAGTTTACAATTTACAGTGTTGTTGAACATTTCTCACTTCTCATATCTAGTGATTTAAATATTTTCCACAATATAATGCTCTTTACAATTTCCACAATATAATGTTCTTTACAATTTAATGTTTATTTACAATTTTAAAAATATATATTTACCTGGAAATTCTCCATGAGCAAATGGACATTTAATCCAGGATCCTCGTTTGGTGGTAAACTGAAAGCAGAGAAATCTGTTATGAAAACTGGATTTTCCATTTCAATCTGTGGCAAATATTCAATTAGTGATGATCAAGGCATTCCAGAAAGTTGCAGAAGATTAATTCACAGCTTCCCTTCTTTATTGTATCTTCCAAGCCTTGACTTAAATTAGATCCCCTAATTCTTCAGGTATTTCTAATCATGCATATTTTATAGAAATATCTGGTCCCACTGACTTGAAAGTAATCAAAAAGAAAACAATAATATGTCTGTATTGGCCTTATTTGGATTTTTTTCCCTCAAATAGAATAGTAAGAGATTCACCATTAAATGTACTGTGTTGATCATTTTATTTTCAAATATTTACTATTAAAAACTTTATATGTTAAATTTAGCATATTCTTCAGAGTTTGCATTGTCCAAAAACTTTTTTTTCCTGCTTTCTTAAATAGACAAAAAGGAAGGGAACAATCTGACCTGTGTCTTATCTATCATTGCTGTTGCACTTCAAAACTATCACCTTCTAATCTAATCCTTCACTTTTCCTTCATTCTCCGTTCCCATTTATCAGAGCTATGAAACAAAATATTGATCATAAAGAACATCAGCAGCTCATTTATTTTAGAGACAGAAGGGCAGTTAATATGTGTTTTACAAAGAAATTCCTTTACCTTCATGCAAAGTCTTGGGTGAGTGTCCACACGAGAATATTTGACCTGCTGGAAGACAGGGCAGTCAACATTAGCTAGTTTTATTAACTAGTTTCACAAAATCAACTACTGAAATTTTCCTGGCTTGATTACTGCAAAGGCAACTGGTTTGTTTAATTCATAAATCTCCCAGGAAGTTAATCACATAAAATGATTAGAAACAACTGCTGCTTTGGATTACTGAATAGTGTGCTCCCTTGTATCTGCAATATGTAGCATTTTTTATGGCCAGACTGACCCATTAGAGCTAAATTAATTGATTCTATGGTGGCTTGTGCAAAATTCTGATTACAAAGTCAACTTATTTCAACTCCTTATTTTCCACTCATGAACAACTCATCAGAACACCTAAACATACATCCAAAAGTATTCCAGCATCAGTTGAGAAATCTTTGAATTTTCCATATCCTTATTTCAGAACAGTGAAACGCAGGCTGAATTTTGGAAATACACTTAAGCAATCCACAAAATGTTGTTTTTCTTGATTAACAATTGTTTACCCACCAAGGGCTTCACCACAAAGAGCCTTTTCTTATAAAAACAATAGCTGCACATATTGCTATACACATGATCCTACTTAAATAAACCCTGCTGCTAAAGTGACTGAGCATCCTACACGGCCAAACCCTTCCTGTTACTTCTTTTGAGAACATAACAGCAGTGTCCCAGGAGATAGCTCTGCAGGAGTCTGCTCAGACCTGGAGACAGCTTTGTCATTGACAGAGGAAGCCCCAGCCCCAGTTAGGAGGAGCGATGCAGCTTTTGTGCCTGAGTCAGTACATGTGCACAGTATTAGAGTGTGTGCCCTTGTCTGGATTCACAGGGCAGCTGGCCCTGTCTGAGCAATCTGCAGTAGTTTCCAGAATACTACAGGGGTGGTTTTCAGGGTTACAGTACAATAAATGGACCAAATTCATTATCAAACTTGTTAGAATTAACGAGGAAAAAAAAGAGAATCCAGTCTATCCATGAATGTTGATGATCCTTGTGGGTCCCTTCCAGCTCAGGATATTCTATGGTTCTATGATTAATATTAATGTTCAGTCATTAAATGCAATCAGTAAATACAGAAAAACATTCACACTCTGTAATAAGTTTGATTTCTGTTCTGGTGATAGATACAACCATTACCAGCCAGACCCCATTTTAGTCTTATTTTCTTTTTCTCCCTTTTTTCTCTCCTGCAAGCAATGAACTGTACTTGCTGCCAGCAGATGAATAATCCCACAGGGATCACTCACATCTAGAATTAAATTAATCTGTTTTCTCAAGATCAAAGCTTTGTTGGAACTCATAAATGATGAATCTGAACAATCACTAAAGGCTTGGCCAGGAGTTCCTAATCACAAAAGTATTCGACAGTCTGGAGTCAGCCCCTCCCCAGTCATGTCATCAGAATAATAATATTAATCCAAAAGTTTCAGAATTAATCTCTTGTGTTTGATTTTTTTTTTTTTGCCTTTCCAGTTGTTACTTTAAGTTTACAGCCTTCTCTCCACAATCAGGCAAGCCTGATTGTGATTACTTTTCATGATAAAACTAATTCTAATGAACTCAAAAAGCCAGAGCATTCAGTATTGAAGTGTTAAGCCATTCAAGACATATGCATTTGAAAACCCATCTCAACTTGAGAAAATAAATGCTGGAAGAACTAAGGGACACAATATTTCAGCACCCACAATTTCAAGACACTGGACCAGGTTGAGGAAGGCACTTCAGGAAGATCTTATTTACAAAACAATTGTGCCCAACCAAAGTACTGTTATGTCTCCAGAAATATGTAAAGAGGTTTAGCTTCATTTAATTTATATTTCTGGTGTCTAAATGTTAAATATCTACATCTGATCTGATCACAATAGACTCTTGTGACAGTAAAAAGAAGGTGGTACCATCAGAGAGAAATCCCTCCAACCTACCATGCCTATCTAGAGATGAGAAGAGTTGTCCTCGCAGTGTGTCTGTTTCTTACTTTAAAGGGAACCTGACGTGAACTATAAATAAAAAGCAGATCCTATTTACCCCAAAGAATTTAGCAAACATTACTAGCTGCCCAGTCATCTCCACTTGTTATTTCTTTATAATGAGTCAGTGACTATTTTGAATAAATCATGTGATTAATGTGCAAGAACAGACTGTGATTATGAATAATTTTAAGTATCAGAGAAGAGAGCAATTTGCAACTGCTCTTATTCCAAAATCTAGATCTTCACATTTTGCCTTTGGTGATGCTTTTCGATCTCACAGTTTGAATTAATCCCCACAGCTCTTACTTTCTCAGAAGAATTTTTGAAAGATTTTTCTATATCTTCACAGTGGTCATTCAACTTGGTGAACCTGCAGAGGTTAACCATGACAAGGACAGGACAGGCTGGCTCCCAGGCAAGGGTTTGTGTTGATGGGTTATAAACAATATTGTCCCATAGCACCTGTGTATCTGTGCACAAAGAGAGAGAGAAAACATTACTCAAAATGTCCAGACAGGAATCAACACAGCTAATAAGTCTGGTACATGTGCTTTAAACCAAAATCTTGGACTTAACACAATAAAACACATTTTAGGCCACACTTTTTTTCTATTTGCTTGGTAAAAAAAATACTTTCATATGGGTGCAAATAAGACAATTTCTTTTTCTGTTTTTCTGTTTCTTTCTGAGCTGTCATCTCATACGAATTTCTGATATTGCTGGAATATTTGTTTGAATAATTTCCTGTTAAGCATAGAACTCATATACAGTTAACTGTCTCCTTTTTCAACTCCTTGCTCCCTCCTTTGAGTTGGGTATTGGACACCCTCAAATGTCTCCTTGAAGCCCTCTTCTCACACTATTTCTAAGCTGACCCGTTATTCCTTCTGCCCAGTTTGTGTGTCACCTAAGCAAATGCGGGAAATGACCAGAAAGTTACTTAGTGTTTTTGTTGGCATAAACTTGGTGAATTATTTGGTCTGACAGTAAGTTGTTTCATCTACCCACAGTAAAACAAACCAATATGATGATTTCCTTGAAGTTTTGCAACACATGATTTCCAGTGTAGATTAATTTAACCTGTGACATACTAATGGAGCTGCTGAAAGTCACTCCTATAAAGGGTAAGCACACAGTACTTGCCATTTTCAAAGGGGCAAAGCTGTACCCTCCTTGCATCTGGAAGTGCCAGCCAACCCTACAACCAAACAGTGGACATCAGTTACAGGTTGTCAATTTTTTTTAACATTTTACCATTTTTTAAACATTTTTAACATAAATGTTTTTAATGTTTTTAACATTTCAGATAGAATGTGACAGAAATTCTTCCTGCCAAAGATAAGGATGCTATATTTGTTAGAAAGCTTTGGAAGTCATTTTTTAAAGGTTTTGCAGCATTTTTTTATTTTGTTGCTCATCATTAGGGGCATTGAACTAAGGTGATCCATTCTAACACTATATCCTATTTCTAAGTTGCATATTTGGTCCAATTTCATTTAGAAAATCTTCCACTTTGATTTTCATTAAATTTCTTGCAGTGATTGATCTTATATTATGATTATTGAATGTTTTGATTTCCCTTTCTAGGTGACTCAAAACATTCAATAGTCATAATATACGATCTCCTGGCCTAGGCAATGGTAAAGGATGCATCCTTAATATCTGAAGACTAACACTTAACCCAATCTTCAAGTATATGTGCATGGCTGCTGCTATGCCCTATTTATTTAGATTCATGTGCAAATGTTTCTGTTCCCATCTGTTTGCTCAGCAATCTTATTGCAGAATTTTCTATCTGCACTGCAGAATTTTCTATTTCTACCCTGCAATCCTATTTGCAGAGTATATACTGAGAGAAATAAAATTTTTCTAGTGATCTCATATTTTCAGAGTGGAATGAAAAAATTCCCTAGGCTTCGACAAGACTTTGTGGTTCAGCTTGCCTATTTAGGTATGTGGTTTTAGGTCCCACAATGTACACATCTAAGTGTCAGTAAAGTGCCAAAATCACTGTCACAGTAGCCTTATTTAGACCTCTTTTAGCCAGAGCAGCCAGTGGAATCTACAGTGCAGTCCAGCACATCCCAAAAGGATTGGCCATCTACCTTTGGTCAGTTGAGCACTGACTGTATTAATTACCTCTCTATTGACTTTAAGAGTTTATTCACCTAATTCAAATGTAGATATCTGTATTTAGATATTTACATTTAGGTATCTTAATCTGCAAGGTAAATCTAACCTCAAAATTCAGTGAGAAAACTAGGTTCACACAGCATCTTTCTATGTTAGCAGGATAATTTTAAATTTGTTTGGGATCTTTTATTCCTTGTATGAAAGACATTCCAAAATCTCACTTCTCAGGTTATCATAAAAATCTGTAACTATCCTGAATATATTCATGGAATGAATTTTTTCCCCCTTCGTTCTCATTGCAAGAATGACTTCCATTTAAAACCTATCTTATTTTTCCTTATAAGTGATCCTTCTGGTCTGTATTTACACAGCAAACATAATTTCTCTTTGCATGTGTTTTACCAGGCTAATGGAAACATGGTATTTGAATCTCCTTTGTAAAACAGTCTCTTCATTCCCCGATCACTAGAGATTTTTTATGTGCATCTTCCTTTTGAATTAATCTTTCTTAAAGATGAATACAAGAATTCCTTACAGTATTTCAAAGAAGGCCTTGCCCATACTCTCCTGTTAGTTTGGAATAATCTAACTCACTACACTTTTGTTCATGTTTACATGTTGACATCATTGAAGCAAGCTAGTTAATCACCCTGTGATCAACTATTTCACCCAGATCTTTTTCCTTCCACTGTTATTTCTAAATGAGGACTCACATCCTACAGCAAGAATTCTTTTTATCAGAGCAAATGCATGAACTTGCACTTCATCCTTTACACTTCATCATCCTTCATTTATGTCACATATGAAGATCTCTAGTCTTCTCCAATCACCCTGACCCTCTTCCATTTTTATTATAGGTCCCAACTGTGTTCCAGCAAATCCTATTACACATTCCTGCATTTTGTCCCCATGTCATCCTTAAATAACCTCCCTACCAGCACAGGCCCATCCAACAGAAGTTTCTGAGTTGGCCCTGCAGCCAGGTATTATCTACCACTCAAATCTTGCCATCACTCTCAGTTTCCTCAATTCCTGTTTTAGTTTCTCATACTATATCAAATGCTGCTGACATTCAGTCAGATTAAGTCTTCTGTCTTTTCATTGTTTATAAAAAATCAGTCAAAATAATATTACTCAACACATTCCATTAATTATTATCAATTTTGTCCCATTTTCTTCTGATTGCCATGTTTTAGCATCTACTAAAAAAAAATCTCTTCCTTACATTTATGTAATTCTGAGGTCAAAAAAAGCCTTAGTCAAAAACTTGGGCCTAGAGCCTTTTTCTTCAGATTTTTCCTCCTTTCCTTAGCACAAATCCTTAATAAAATTTCTTCAGTCAGAAACACAAATATATACCAAATTCCAGAGTGTATTACCTCAATGCAAAGACAAGGGAGTAGCTGAGAATATTTCAGAGAAACGGATTTAAAAGATTCCTTTCCTTTTATCTGAAATGAAAAAGATGGTCATAAATCCAGGACAGTAAATTACTTTTAATAAAGCTAAATAATAGATATAGATATAGATGATATATAGATAAATATAGACAGAGATGATATAGATAATTACAGATATAGATTATGTAGGTGATACAGATGATATAGCTGTAGATATAGACATAAGTGGCATTTCCTGTGACTATGACCTTAATGAGCATTGCCACCTGCAAGACACCCTCCCCAGTTCCCCAAAGCACCAGGAGTTTATCTCACCACAGCAAATGCCCCAGCATCTTCACAGGTGAACCATTTGTGGCACAGGCGAACGTAGTAATCTTGATCTCGGGGAAAGTTGGACACATTCACTGTTACCATTTTCCTTGCCCTGTCTAAATTATAAGCTAACTTTCCAGCTGGAAAAAAAAAATAAAATCAAGCATGAAATTATTACATCTGTTTCTTTATAACTTTATTCTTTTTATTTTATCTGTTTATAAAAGGTACAGAATATATTTCATAACTTCATGGAGATGAAAATCAACATCTTTAGAATCTTACTTAGAATTTTTGAAATTATTATTACTTTATACTCTAATAGTTCTCTTTTTTTTATGAGATATAATTTTCATTCAACATTATTTAGGTTAGCACTTGTAATACTGAGAGACCAAGACACCTGCCAATTTTACTTCAACCTTAGTACTTGGAATCTTATATAGTTTATGTACAAATATTTGAAATATACACAATAATACCACTATAAGGGCTGATTAACCCAAGATTGTAATTTTCTTACATAGAGAATATGTGCATTTATGATAGACAAGTGTAATATGTAGAAGGAATATTTTTTAATACATATATTCACAGGTATGCCAAAAGCAGTATAGCAGTTTGGCAAATCAATTTCAATCTATTTATGAGGTCTTCAATAGATAAAACATAAAACCAGCAATCCAAAGTGCATTAAAAGAACACAAATCTGTTTCCAAAAGCTTATAAATCATATAGAATATCAAAATCTTTATCTCCCATGTAGCATTTTCAATATATTTCCAGAACATTACCTATCAACTACATGGTAATTATAAGTAGTGGTAGTTGGAAATCATAATTTTTTTCTCCCTGCTCATTTAAGTATGAAAACATGTCATTGTGTAGGTCACCAGAAATGTCTCACGGCTCTAAGCTGCACAGGAGATCAGCTCACCTGAACAAGCTGGAATATATTTTCCCACATCACTGTTTCTGCAATCTGCAAGGGAGAAGGCAGAGTCTGTTTCAGTGCTGCTTTATTCACACAACTGTGTAAACAAACTGCCAAATTATCCAGTAGATTCCCAACAGGAAACCTCTCTCATCCCTCTTTTTAAGGGCAGACTTGTATACACTTTTAGATAAACTGCAAAAAAGATAAGTACTCTTCCCACACACAGAGATTATATCACAATATGCCTTAAGGACCTATCCCCCTGTCTGGGGAGATACTGGGAAACCTCATCAGCAGTAAAGGCTGCAGTTGAGGATTTAGCACCACACTTCTTTACCTAGAACCTAACAATAATGTGAGCAATAATATTAATTTTGGTTACTTTTTCCTCAAAAAACAACTCCTATTGTTTACCAGGCTCAGGTCTCTGTTATCAATAATTCTGTATTTTTGCTATTCTGACTCCAGCCTTAGAAAGAAACACCCTACCTAGCTCCCAGGGAGCTTACCAGAATTAGAAGCCGGGCAACACTTTCAGAATATCTGGTATTTTTATCTCCAAAACTTAACTTTTAAGAACATTAAAACAACTTTTCATGTGTTGCTTTCACCCCTCCTTGCATAACACAGTATTGGAGCAGCATTTTACTCTAATTTCCCCACAGAGTCCTTTTCCACCAAGAAATATTTCCTATTTTCATTTGTTCACTCATCCTAATGTGTCTAAAACTGGGCTTTGTAAAACCTTGCTTCCTCCCCTCTTTGTTCACAAAATATATATAATATACTTCAATATTATATAATTCAAATAGTGAATATACTTCAAATATATATCGTTCAATAGTGAATCAAGACTGATAAGAAAACTTCAAATATATATAATTCAATATATATACTTCAAATATATAAAATTCAGTAGTGAATCAGGACTGATGAGAAAACTGAAGGCTTTTTAAGCACAGAAAGGCCTTACTTGTACCCAAGTGTCAAACCATGCAGCAGCAATGACACTGTACCAAGGGGCAAGGGCAGGAACCATCCACCCATGGGCTCTGGAGGTGGGAAGGCAGGACAATCCCAGCCTGGGACTGAACAAGGGGTCTCATGTCATTTTTTGCTTTTTCCTTCTCTGCCCACACTGTATCTTGGTTGGACCACAGTGCTGAATCTATTTTTGTGTGCACATGGCATAATTTGTAAAAAATTCATGGGCACTTCACCCCAAAACATGGAAAAATGCTACCTAATCTTTTCCAGTTACATGTAAACAGGCTATAGAATAGGTAGTTAATGAAAGTAAAAATAGATTTCTATAGACTTTCTTATGAAGCTTTCCTCAGCTTCTGAAGCCACCCCTGGGCCACCCATGCAAAGAAGCAGAAGATCCACCTGAGGCACAGAGAGCAGGCAGGGCTGAACCTGCAGGCAGAGAAGGAGCATGTGCCAATCACAAGGAGGGCAACAGGGACAAATGCATAGTGTAAGCTCAGTTTCCACATAGCTTTAGACATAAACTCTGGGTTTTATACCAAGTCGAGGCCTTTACTTGCCAACAAAGAAATCACTGAAACGTAAACTAAGACTGGCCCTGGCATTCATGAGCTACCATGAGTTAGGTCAGTGTGTCCCAGAATGTGATTTGGATGTGCTTTTGCCTTTGAGGTTTTTGGTTGGTTGGTTGGTTGGTCTGGGTTTTTTTATTTTACAAGATATTTCCTGAAAAGCATCTGATTTAAGATGTTTCCTACCTTCAACATAGTATTGCTGACTCAGCTTGACTTCACAGTAATGTGGTACAGTTTTCATGGTCACATAGATGTGTTGTGCTACATTGACTTCAATGCAATTGAATTGTACCTGTACCTGTTTAAAACATTGATAAAATTGAGTTCTCATATGACTTCCAGATACAGAAAAACCTTTGGTTAAGATATTAAAGAGAAAAATATTCTTTGCTTAGACATATTTACATTTAAAAGCAGCATTAAGCAGTCAATAAGGTTGCATCAGGAATGTAAAAGAAGCAGATACAACTTGATAAAAGGATTTCAAGGAGTATCATTATTTCTTGTTGCTATCACCTTCACTTTTAGAAATCCAAATATCTACAAGATATCAAATAATCCTAAAGCCATAGAAATATCAAAAGCCCCAGTCTATACACATTTTTCAAGCACAAACATTAGGAGAATGGAAAAAAAAAAGTCTTAAGTCTTAAAAGAAGTGTTTAAATATTTAATGGCAACTTCAGAAAATGTAATAATTCCAATAATAGTTTATGAAACAGAAAGTAATTTAAGAAACAAAAGTTGAGGCCCAGTTATAGCAGGTCATTCCCTCACTGCTATCAGTTAACTATTGAATTCCTTGTAGGTTTTCCTGTTGGATAGTCTCTTACTTGGTAAAAGGCATTTGGAGAATAAAAGATGTCTTATATTAACATTTTAGTCACTGAACCAAAACTAGGAAAATGGCATTAAATATGTTTGTTTATAGATTCTTGCCTACAAACTTGCCTTACTCTAAAAGCTGCTGGCTGCTGACTGGTGGCCCTGCATTGCCCATAGGGATGGATGTTCCATCATCAAGAGACACCAAGTGCAAACTGCAGCTGCAGTTTGGGAGAACTTTGTTCCACATGTGCAATCGGTGTAACACTGTACAAAGCACACGAAGCAACACTTTGTGTACAGGATTAGTAACCATTGCCCACCAGTAACTGCAAAAATTCATGCCTTTCAAACACCTGGTCAAGGGTGGTTCTTTTTTGCCTCAGTTGCAAATTTTAGCAGCAAATACTTCCCCTTAACAGATACTGCCCCTTCCAAGGACTTAGGAGAGATGAGCACAAGTGCTTAGGCACCCGTCTGTATTCTAGATGTGTAAACTCCAGTGATATGTTTGACTGAAGTAATGTGCACCTAAAATCTCTGTGGCATTGCTCTTCCTAGACACTGGAGTCAGAAAAGCTTCCACACAATTTGGAGGGCACAAAAAGAAAGCTGGCAGGACTGGTAGGAAAATTAGGCTCTGCAGAGACAGATTCCCTTGTCAAAAGGTAAGTGGAAGAAGTACAAAGATGGTGGAAAATTGAATTTATATGTTGTAAAAGGGAATTTCGTTGTGGATTTTCATTTGGCTATCCTGAAGCATATATTTCATTGTAATTTTCCACAAAGTCAATAAGAAAAAAAATAAGAGAGATGCAAAATATTTTTTTTCCAAAGGCTTGTAAATGTTTAAATGAAATATTATTCCCCCCCCAAAAAAGGAGTTTACCTTCTTTCCATTAAGCATCTTGCTTTTTTTCCTGGTGAATCTCACATTTATGCATTGAGATTGCTGTGTGTCCAGTGAAAAAGAACATATTTCCAGCCCACGGACATTCTCTGAAATGAGTTAGGAACAGATTGCAAAAAATATAATTTAAGCATGTTTAGGATCAAAAACACAAATTAAAATACACCATATCGTAAGCTTTCCTTCTAAGTGAAAGGCACATGTATCTCTGTTAAAAAAGAGACATCATATATAACTCACACATAGGAGTAGGAAGAAGGATTTAATACAGATGCTACAAATTAAGCTTTAATTATGCAAGTTTAAAAATAAACCTATTAACTCAGAGAAGCAACTAGGAAATATCTAAATGGTAACATGAAGCACATAAATGGCAAGGTGTTAGTAAAAATAGACTATGCACAGCAACTTCATGTATTTCCATTTTCTTGCAGTGCAGAACTGTAACTTCAGATGAATAAACTGTTTCTCCTTCTGTAGGGGCAGTCACTCATGTTCAGACTATCAGAGCAGACAGAATTAGTGTGTGTGCCTGTGTGGATGCCAGAGCAAGAAGGAAAAGGGCAGCTGTGTGCTCAGGGCACTGGCAGAGGACAAGTTACATGTATTGCATGCTGGAAGCCAGAATTCATTATCTCAGTTCTCATTCACTTGGGAAGGGTCACAACTTCATCCTTTTTTGTAGTGAAATGCTTTCACAAAAATATTTTTCTGAGAACATTACATGAAAACAGCTTGGTCCCAAACATTACAATATGGAACAAACTTTGGCTGAACAGCCATAAAAACAAAGTGAACAGAAAGAGCTCAGTAGCAAAGCTGATTCCTACCATCCAGACTCAGTGTTCCTTTAATGTTTAAATGAAGAGAGCATGGGCTTCCTTGCACACATTTCATCACTGTTGAGATCTTCATGCTTTTCAGTACCATAGAAGATAAAGATGCAGGAGCATCATGGCAGAAGCCGTTAAAAATGCCACCTGCAAATGCAAACACAAGGGCAGAGAAAACTCATTGCACTCAGGATGTCTGGGGGAGAGCAAGCACTACAGGGGAAGTTCCAGCTCTCCTGAAATCAGTAAGAAAGGACCAGCAAAGCCAGTACTTTACCTAAGACTTTCACACAGCAAACATGTAGGGGGTTGGAATAAATTTCTAGGCTTAGGGAAATGTTAACCCACAAGAGGAAGCAATCACACTTCTAAAAACTATGGTTAGCAGAACACACGTAGACTAATACTGGTTCTAATTAGTTAGACCTGCTAGATCATGGCTAAACTGATAGCTTATATAAACTTTTTTCCAAAACCATTGTCTGTATATTGTGAGCACTCTCATTATAGTACTTTAATTTTAGGACTTTCTGACGGTCTCCATTGCTGTTAAAATTTCACTTTCACACAAGAGGGCACCATTGCATTCCTAGTCATGGAGGAGTACCTTACACCTACAGGATTTCCTTCTGCTTTAGACCAGAACAAGAGTAGAATAAATATTATCCAGGCCTTCTTCAAGGCCTACGGATTACTGTGTTCTTCAAGGCACAGAACACAGTAATCCATAGGCACAGAACACAGCTACTACGTCTTCTTCTATTTCCCTGTGTAAATTTAGACATTCCAAAGCTGTAGGAAATGGATTTGCAGAGCTAAAACTATAGGCTAGGAAAAAAGGAAAAAATAGTCTTAAGGCCCCAAACCTCATCAGTTAGCATATTTCATCTCTTTCTACTTCTCAGTCTGCCCTACACAGAAATCAGGTATTTATTTATGAATTTATATTATGAATTATAATACAATTTAATCCCCAATGCATTCCTTGGGCTTCTCTACTTCACATCCATTGTTTGTAGTCCCAAAAACTAGTAATTCAAGAAACTATCAGAACAAACAACCAGAGAATTGGGTTTCGTCCCTTGGCTTTGTGGTATGCAATGCAGCACAGCTCTTTTTATCTGTAACTATGTAACTACTATTTCTTTGAAATATTTCCTAGACTTCTCCCTTTCATATACAGCATGAAAGCTAAAAACCACCCAAGTAAATTAAAAAGTATTTTCTTGACCATTCTCCTTTCCCTGGTGAGAGGCTAGAAGAACAAAAACACAATAAACCAAACAAAAAAAATTTATTCATATTTCAGCTGTTCAAAATGCTCCTAGAAGGAGTTCAACTAGTATGGCAAAAGGTATGGAAGTATGAAACAGCAGTGCCACAATACTGTGCTTGCCATAAAATTCAGGATAGCACTCTTAATAGAATCACCAGGAAAGGGCACATGCCTCAATGTCAAGACAAAGAACTGTTGTCAAGTGTGGATGCTCATTGACTCACATGGATTGACATCCACAGTTCTCACAGAGGAAATGTATGGTGAAGGAGGAAACACAAGGTAATCCTTACTTATCCTTCCAAGCCTTCCAGTAAAGGAAAGTGCTCTAAATTCAAAGACTGAAAGTGTATTAACCTGAACAGGACTTCTTCCGGCCTTATGAGATCCTCATTTTCCCAGTGTCCCGTTGCAGCTGCAGGCCACTGTCAAAGATCAGATACTGATACTGCAGGATGTGAACACAGGCTGGCATAAATGTGGCACCTTCCCTTAAATCTGTTAAATCTGTTAGGCCTTAAGTGCCCTCACACCTGATATCAGGAGAAATAAGTCCTGTGTGATACATATCACTTACACAGTGTCAGAAGAGACAAACCCTTCACACCCAAATCTCCATCCACAGTTAGCCTGGTTTTGTGTCATTGACCATATTTTGGAGGCAACAGGACATGCTGATAAGAACCAAGTGGAAAAGCATGGGAAAACAAGGACACTTTATCTCCACAGGCAGTTGGTCAACTCTGAATTGTCCAAAGAAATACTGACAACCAGCAGAGACAATTTATGCAAACCAATGAAAAAACACAGATCACTCAAAATACAACATAAGGCTTTAAGAGCAGTTGGAATACCTTGACGCTTGAAGAATTTATAAACATTTCCACAGAGATGAGACAGCCCTCAGAAGTACAGTGCACAGCAGCTGGATATAAACACTGTATTCCATGTTCCAAGAATGTGTGGTGTAATAATCCTGAAGGTATCTCAGGATGGAAAGTTATTACACAACACACAATTAATCCACCCACAACAAACTGGAAGTTTATCATATTGCAGAATTACTTGGTAATTATTACTAATAATGTGAAAAGTGATGATTAGTTTGAGCTCTGTCTCTCTGCTCAAAAATCTGTTTTCCTGACTACACGGCATGAGATGCAGTTGTGGATACACAATGGTATCTGGGAGTAATTGTTTCTGCTTAAGGTTTGGTCATTGGTGAAAATTTCTTGATCCAGGCTTATAACCTCACCCATTGCCATGTCTGCATAGAAATTATTTAAGGGCAGGGCATTGTTTGTAGACATATGTAGAGAGATAGAGAGATAGAGAGATAGAGAGATAGAGAGATAGATAGATAGATAGATAGATAGATAGATATTGAAAGTGGATAGGTCTTTACAAAGCATTCTGTTTGGGTGTGTTTGACCTTATTTTTTAGGGGGTGGGGGGAGGAAAGTGTCATGACTTAGCTGAATTTTCTCCTTAGCTGTTACAGCCTGAGGTGTGGTATCATCAGATGTCCCAGGGTTGGTACTATCTCATGAAAATTCCAAGTCAACCTGGGTGCATTCCTGAAATTGGATCAGCATCAGACAGATGCACAAACACCCTGCTGTCCCATCAGCAGAGACACTGTTCTCCTTGGTCACAGTTTCTACTTTCGAACTTAGAACAAATATGTTATGAACTGAATAAATGATATTATGCTTCCACTTTGGATTTTTTTCCATTAATTTTATGATAGATTTTGAGAATTGCAAAACATGCTGCAAAACTCATTAGTAATAATTTAAATGGATCATATCATGCATGAGGATACTAGCATTGGATTACAGTAAATACATGATACATGTATTTACTGATTCTGTCAGGATGACCTGACAGAAAATAATTTTCATTGTATAAATCATCACAGTAGGAGACTCATTTCTGACTAATTCTTCAGTAAACTCCTACTTTATCATCTTTTAATCCCCCCTTAAGATATTTTCTTCTGGAACACACCCCATTTTCCTTTTTACACAAGTAGTTTTATCTATACCACAGAAGACATAAAGATACATCTTGCTACACAAACCATCTGTTGGGTAAATCTTACCTAAATTTTCTGTTTATGAATAATAGCTGTAATTAGCCCTACATGAGAGAGGGATTGTTGCTTTAGTGAAAGGTTCCTCAATTATGGACACATATAAGCCCAGGCATAAAGAAACCAAGGCTTATTATTCAGCATGTAGACATTTCCTTGTACTTTTGCCATCAACTCAACCACAGCAGATATTTTTTTTTAATCTGATGATGCAGCAATCAACCCAGAACTGTCACAACAGCAAATCACACCTTATGTACAGTTGGATAATAGAAGCCAGAGCTGAGCAATGGATATGCAAAAGAAATGAATAGATGGATAAGTTGAAGCCTCAGGTAAGAAGATGAAATTGGAGAAGAGCATGGAAAAAAAAGGCAGGGAAAACCTGTTAATAACAAGATTGAGACAACACCCAATAGAAAATCTTAACTGGTTTTTTATCTGATATATCTTCCCTAAAGTATTGTAAGAATCTGAACTACTTAAGGATACTGACAGTGCTAAATCTGGGAGCATCTCTAGAATTGCTTCACTGGCACATCAATCCATGACTATAAATTACAGTAGTATTTCAAACCTATTTGCATATGATTTACCACAGTATCTGTTGCATCTGTTCATCAGGATGATTCAACAAAATTCGTCAGCAAAGTAGATATGCTGTCCTACAATAACCACATGGTGCACTTCAGTTAATAAGTACCAAAATTCACTACTTGTAAGTACTTACAGCAATTATGAAATTGATTAAATTTTAGACTGACAGCCTCTCTTTCACAAGAGATGGCACTGCACAGTAAATTAAAAGAGTTTCATGGTTATGTGTTCAGAAAACATTTCAAACTTTTAGAGATATTGAACAACACTGTGATATACTGTGCCAAATACATTTTCTGAAAATGTAAATTTTTTTTAAATCATTGATACTTTGATATCCATGTATGGATATATTACAGTGAATTTCAAATACTACAGTAGTTCTTATGTCTAGAAGAGCAGGAGAAGGCAGAGTCAAAGTCACACTGCCAAATACTACTGAGGTGGTGGTTGCAAATTTTAGGAAATATCTTTTTGCTGCTAAAAGAAATTACTACTGCAAAAGCCCTCTTCTAGACCTAGTTAAGGTCTTTTAAGGTAATTTTATCTCAAATAACAAATAATTTTAAAACATAATATAGAAAAGGAAGTATGCAAAGGATTATACACCCACTGTTGCACAAGCAAATTGGGATGAAGACAAAAAATGCTTTTTCATCACCCTTCTAAGGCTGAGTCATTCTACATGTTACTTGTGTTGAAGATAGCTGATAAGTTTTTTCAGACAGCACTGAAAAACCTACAACCAGCTTCATGTATATCATCCTCAAAGATACATATCTTTAGTTTACAAACCCTTCAGTGGCCTTCCAGTTGAGGGAAACATCTAGCTTATCTGATGTGCATCATCTGCATCAGGGCTTGGACCAGATGACTCCCAGAAGCGCCTTCTGGCCTCAGCTCTGAGCAGCTCTGGCAGTCAACAGAGAGTGACAGCCCCTCTTGCCTCTCTCCCAGCATAGAAATCCCCTTGTCCTAAAATGGATGGAATGAATCACCACCTCGTGGTACCTGTGAGTCTCCACTATCTAGATCTGCATTTGTGTAACACCCAGCAGAGATTTTAACTCATAACCAACAGAATTACGGGTGTTCTTACCTTTGAGAGCAGGCTGAAGGGCTAGATTTTCTCAGCCTGTACTGCTCAAGGATGTAAAGGCATGCTTCAGCTAGCAAAGCTAGGGTGGACACCCCTGTTTCTTCTTCTACCTTCCACATAGTTTGTGCAACTACCAGGTCAGCTGCCCAGTCCTAACAGGATTCATTTACAACCCCTGAACCAGCCACCAAAGGTTCACTTTGCAGAAGACCAGAGATTTTTTCTGATGGAACTTTTAACTGCATCCCTTCCATACACATGTTCTTTCTCTCCATCTCAACACAGTCCCATAAGTGCCATGCATTCTGAGTAAGGATTCGTGCCAGCTGGCATTCAGCTCATGTCCCATCAGCATCTCACATGCTTGAGCTCAGCATTGGATCTCCACCCTGTCTGTGCCCTCACTGCCGTGGGGATTCAGGAAAGGCTCTGTGGACACCAGCAGTGCTCAGAGCCGAGCCTCCAGCTAGGACTGTCCTCTCAGGGGGGACTGACTGTCCTCTGAGTGGGGACTAGGACTGTCCTTTCAGTGGGGATTATGACTGTGAGTGCCCTCTCAGGGGGACTGTTTCCAAGGCAGCTGCCTCACACTTCCCTGCAAATGGCTGTGTGCACTGGAGGAGTAACTGATGGAGGCTCCAGAGGTCAGGTAATTCAAGCCCCTGTGTTGTTACTGTAGGCCACATCTATAATGAGTAGAAGCAAGAAAAACATGTAAAATGACTGAGCAAACTCTCTTTCCTTCACTATGTTAAGGAAAACTATAAAGCAATAGTCTTTATTTAAATAGTATTTATTTAAACCTACCAATTTCCAGTGTTTTTTATGAAAGAACTGGTGGTAAATACACTGTCATGACAGCAATCTGATGTCACTAGGATAATGGATTTAATATCTTTAATAAATTATCTTTAAAAATAAACATAGTAAAAATGTAAATTATGTGTACTCACCAGAAGGTTTGCTTTTGCAGTGAATCCCCTGCAAACAGAAAAAAAATATTTTAAAATCTGAGGTAGTAATAAAAATAAATATTGCTCCGTCATTGTACACAAGTAAACATACCTTAAACAGATAAATATATTCATAGTCCACAACAGAAATAATTTTCAAAGTTAAACAAATTATTTTCCAGTACAGTGAAAAAGCCCATCAGCTCTGCCTATGACAGCCTGATACATATAGGGGCACAAGATCACCATTATCCTCATTTTCATGTATTTCTACTGAGGTGTGTAGTTTTTTAACAAGAATAAGAGTTCCATCAAATAAAGACATTATTTTATCAGGTACTACCATTCCTACTGACCAAGAGTTCATGCATTATTTCATTAAATTCTACAATGGATTTGTTTAGACCAGGGCAAAGAAACCTAATTATTTTACAATGGAAAATATCTAGAACATTATTGAATATATATTATTTTTAGAAGACCCTACTAGAAAGGAAGCATTATGGCAATTGCAAATGAAGTCTAGAAATAAGACTTTTTATTTCAGACAGCTGGCTTAGAAGACTGAAAATTAAATTACTCAACCACAGTACTTATTGTGTTCAAGGGAAAGTGTCTTTGTAAGAGGCAAAGTGAACCTGGCATTGAGATTTTAACAAGCTTCCAGCTATCTTTCAGACAGACTACATCCATTTTCCCAGTAAAATAAACACTTAACCACACACTAAAATTTTGTAGAGTACAAAAATAACAAATCTTACACTGACTGCTATGCATGACATTCTAAAGAAAGGCTATTCCTTAGCCAGCAAACACTGGTTGCTGCTGTTCTGGCATAGCCCTTATCCCAGTATTCTTTTGCATACAGAATATATGTTCCCATGTCCTTTCCTTTAAAAGCCGTGTCCTGTTGACAGAGATACTTTTATCACACCCACAAAAGTATAGGCAGCACCCTGTCTCCTCTGCTCTCAGTCCTTTTAAAACATTTTAGGATCCTGCCAACAAACCAACAATCTGTGAGATTCAGAGCCAGAAAAGTCTTCTGGTGAACATTTAGAAGTTCTTTAATTGAAACACAGAGGCTACAGCCTGGGCAAGCACTAGCACATCATAAAATAACTATTGCTTGGTTTTCCAGGAGGCTTTCATCCACAGAAATAAAGCTGTGGAGCAAAACCGTGTTATTGCAGCAGGTGAGAAATGGCAGTACGTTCACTTCCAACTGCCTGGGGTACCTGAGAAGTGTGTCCTGTCCTTCATGACAGCTTTTTATTTGAGCTAAATAAGCTCCTTCTTAAAGGAGGCCTTTAGAAAACCAGTGAACACTGTCTAACCTGTATCAGTTCCCATTCTTCTGTCCTTTTGGCAGTTCTATTTTTTAACAATCACTTTTGGACATCAGTTGTCATCTTTTACTACTGGCAATTTGGTACTATGACTCAAAAAAGTGCAAATGCATAAAAGGTGGTATTTTAAACCCCATTTTATAATAAGACAGAGTGGTCATATACTGTCATAGACTAAAGATTAGAAAAATTATTTGTGACATTGTTAAAGATATCGGTTTGGCTGCTTCTACAGCATAGTACATTGACACTCAAATTAGGACCTGTTGCAACAGACAAGGGGTAATGTGTTGGAGAATTTTGCTCAGAAATGGCTTAAAAGGCAGCTGTGAGGAGCAAATTCTCACAGCCTGTTTCTGTAAACAGCTAAGTTCTCAAGCCTGTCTTCAATAACAAGGAGGCCTTGAGAACTTTCATAACAGGGTGAGAAAATAAATCTTGGATTCAATAACAAACCACAGGTATTGAAAACAAAAGGAGGGGTTAATGTGTAATCTGTGACCTATGATGAGCTCGGATTTTGCAATATGCATGAGCTTAATTAACACCACTATAAAAGTGTGTAAGTGAGATCAATAAATTGGAGTTCGATGCTGATCAACAAGGATGGGTCGTCTCCCTTCACTTTCAACAGTAATGGTTTTAAATTAAAAGAGAGTAGATTTAGATCAGATGTAAGTAAGAAAATGTTTTACAGTGAGGGTGGTGGAAGCATTCAAGGCCAGGTTGGATGGGGCTCTGAGCACCCTGATCCAGTTGGAGCTATCCCTGCTCACCACAGGGGACTAGATGACCTTTGAAGTTCCCTTCCAGCCCAAACCATTTTATGATTCTATAAAGTATACCAAACTTCTTCACATAACTGTTCTAAAACTGGGATACTTCTGTTTAAAAGGTTTTATAATTTCCTCAAATTGCCATGAAAACTGAAAATGGTAACTGATAAGACCTAATTTCTGCTGTAGAAATACTAGTTATTTATTAATTGTTTCAGAAAGGAACTGCTGGATCAACTAATTTCTCAGTCATTACTTACTGGAAGAAACTAATCATTCATGAGGCTTATCATTCAGCAAATTACTTCCATATTTTTACTTCCCATTTTGCAGCCAGACTGTTGAAAATATTTTGGTTAGGTGGCTTGACAGAGTTCCCAATTGCCAGTCAAAATTTCTTAGAACAGCATCTTTAACTTCTCTAACCATTCTTTCTGGCTACAACCTTAGTGCAAAAAAAAATATTCAAAAAAATCAAGATCATACTGAATTAAAGAAGAAAAAAATCTCACAAATATCAAAGGATTCAGCCTTTTGATTAGAGAAGGTCATCCTCCTGTTATGACACCTGAAAATTGAAAACTGAATGTAAAATAATTGAATTGTATATATTGCAGGAGAAAAACCGAAACACCCATTTCTGTGGGCTATGGCATGATAAAGAAATTCTCTTATACCTTATTCTCTTACATACCTTTTAGTCTATCCTAATTAATTATTGGTTTTCACTATTGCATAGAGGAATCCTATTATCTGAACTCTTACATTTATTTTCTTGTCCTTTCCACAGGAAAGAAAGAAACATCCATCTGTGACTTTTGATCTGGTAAGGAGATGTTTTGTCATTCTTGAGCACTTGGTTGTGTTCTGGGTGAGGAGTTGTTGGGAAGGTTTACATAAATAATCAAATATTTGCATGAACACTTGCCAGTTACAGCAATATTTGTTCACAGCCCAATTTCTTATTTTTTAAGAAGTGTTTCTTTTTATTGTACAATACCAAGTGGGTGGGGGTGGTATTTTTTTTTACAATCAGTTTGCAAAACAGTCCAAAGAGACCATTTGTCTGAAAGGATAATTCAAATGAATTAACCAAGTTCCTCTCCCACTTTCTATATCTTTTGTTTTCAGGAATTTTCAGTGATGAGTGCAATAAAAAAACATAACACACTAAAACAGGAATGGAAATTTTCTTCCCCTTTTACAAAAGCCTAGGGCATCTTTTATGCAAAAATAAGATCCTGAACATGATAGTACATTTTACTCCTATACAGAGAGAATCTTTGATTCATATCTTCTTTGGCAAAGAGCCTAAATAAAATATACTTACACAATGCACAAACAGTTAGGGATTTTCCTGTTTCTCTGGGGTTTTCCCCATTTGTGGTATTACTCAACTGTAGCTAGAGGTTATCTGAACAGACACCACCAGCATGCAGCATTCTGAATAGAAGATGTGGTGCCAACTTTTTAGCTAGCACAGCAACTTCTCCTCAGTCTAAGACAATTGTAATATCCCATTGTTCTAACAACTGCAGAGAAGAGAGTGAGATCAGCAGAGGAAGACTTGGATTAGGGGCACAGAGAGTGTTTGCATGAATTAAAATTGCCAAGAAAAAGAAACAAAGATCAAATCTGCTTCCCATTTCCTCTCATATCTCCAGGCACTAAATCAAGTGCAGAATTGTGGAAATTCTTCCCTGGATGTTCTGTCATGAAGGAAAGAGTCTGAGGAAAATTTGGGTTCACAGTCTACCTGTTAGTTCTGTTGTACTCATTCATAGAAGAGCTGGTGGCAGCTCTTCCACAACTCTATAAGGAATAGTAAGAAGCCTGAAAATTCCTTAAAATGTGTTCTTTGCTTGAGACCAGATTATCAGACACTTAACATTCACTCATTAAGACACCTACATTAGTCAGTGAATGTAGGATCCTCCCTTTTGAGTGATGCTCACTGGCAAAGCTATTAGCTACATCTCTACTTTAGGTTCAGTTGTCAGAGAAAGCAAAGACAAAGGAACATGACCATATTCTGATGTTTCCCTCTATTCCAACAATCTATATTCTTTAACCACCATTAAGAGCAAGCATGGGATTCTCTGTACTTTTACAACACAGGGAAAGGGTGAGTTTGCAATAATTGATGTTCAAATTGTAGCCAAAAGGCCAGTAAAGACGGTTAATCTGAACATGCTATTTTTTGATTTCCAATTGAGAGGAGCTGCTCTGCAAAAATCCATCTTATTCTGCACACAAATACAAAGGATGTCCCAGATCACTGGGTATAGTCCCCTCATAACCACAGGTACCATATAATCTAATCCCTTTCAAAAACTGGCAAAGCATAATTTTAAAATCAGTCAGGCTTTCATGTGCACTGCTGTGAGAGCCAAAGCTATTCCAGAAGACCTTGTTGCCTTCTAGCACCAAAGCTTTTAATTTCTTACATGACCACAATAGTGGTTGGCTTCTACTGACTTCTGATTGCACTCATTATCTTTTCGCTTAAATAGATGCTTTCCACCCTGGAATTTACTTTTCATTTTTCTGCAACCAGTAATGTACCTTTTCTCAGTTTTTTTGTGTAAAAGCCAAGCTCTTTTACTACTCTCTACTAAACTAGATTTTCCTTCTTACCATCACCCTTCTCAGCACCTTCTTCTACTTTAATGTATCTGTCCAAATGGAGTGACCAGAACCATCCACAGCTGTGAAAATACCGGGGTTCATTTTGTGCCTTGTAAAGTCAAACTGACCTTTGGCTCAGCTGGGAAGACCACAACCATGTCATATCCTCCACCACAGAGGGGGAGCTGATTTAGCCTGCTGTGTAAACAATCCAGCAGCAGCTTTCCTTTCTCCAGCTGCTCACCCATTCAGCTCACACAGGGAGGAGGCTGGCC